ATAATTCTTTTTTTAAAAGTATTATTATACAAAAAAAAAAAATAAAGATTAAATAACAATGCAAAGAACAAAATTTTATTAAATTCATTTATAAGAACAATTTGAATGTTCCCAATATTATATTTTGTATAACATTAAGATTTAATATTATAAAAATGAATTTTATAAATAATTTTCTTATTAATTTTATTGCAATTGATCTTAATTTCTTTTATATTTAAAAAAAAGAAACTAATAAAGATATTCAATCTTATTTTTTCGAATCATTTATTCTATTTCTCTCTTGTTTTAGAAAAAATTTGAATTTTTTCTAAAACAATATCTTTAGTTTTCTTTTGACAATGTGAGTAACGGAAAATGATAAAATCTGTCAAACTCACGTAAATGAGGCCGGAGTAGTATCTGTCTTTGAGGTTATGCAGTACAGAAGCTTCATTTAAACACGTTAATTCAGCCATGTCTTCAACTTTATCAAATTTTGGTGGATTCATTTTCTGAATATCATCTTTTGCAACAAGAACCCGTTTTCCAGTTTCGGCAATCTCCACTTCGACTTCATCACCCCGTTCACCCTTTATCCCGGCTGCAACGAAACCCTGAGTTTCGTGAGGTACCCAAACTAATTTTTTTTGTGTCCATTCGGCTTGAGTTGCAGGATCATTAAAATTATTCCTGTCAACTGAAAGGAATCGCAATTCGGGATCTGAATGATCCACCCTCGAGTCAACGTCCGCCATTTTTGTTTTTGAGATCACTAGCTCCTTGAGCCGGCTTCAGGGACGAGCGATTCCAAGGACGATCCTCGACAGACTGACCTCTTCGTAACAAGGACGCACATGTAACTATTCAACACTCGTTTTCGTATCGTTTTCGAGTGTCTATTGTCTCGTGGTGGTTAAGGTAATCTGAGACTGGAGAGTTTTGGATGATTCGTACTTCGTTCTCCTTCGAGGTACCGTGTTCTTCTACCACTTTTAACGCTCTCCGAGATTGTTTTCTTTCTCGCTCTTCGCGGCCATCTTCCTTCCTCCTTATGCTGACAATGATGGTGGGGTTGTATTTTAAAAGTATGCTGCATAGTAGCGCTCATGTCGCTACATGACGCATCTCAATAGAAATTTGATTGGTTACGAGATAAATATATTAACTGGATAACCAATCAAAAATGTTTTGTATATCACGAAAAGAAATATTTCTTTTAGACTAAACATGTGATATCTACATTGTGTTATATTCTATGTTCTAATTTTAAATATATACTTGACGATTTCTAACCGACAACTTGTAATAGTATAATAGTATAATTTATAACTAATATAACTAACAATATATAAAAAATATAAGATCGTGATAAAATTCATATTATATAAATATAATTTAACAAATAAATTTTATTTTTGTATTAATTATTTATATATATATTTCTTTATTTTTATTATATTTTAAAATAATTTTAATTTAGATTTGTAACTGAACTATTTTTCTTTATATTAAATTTACAACATAAAAATATTGAATCAGATTAAACAGATTATCGTATCATTTTTATGTAATGTAAGTATTTATAATAATAAAAAATGCATTATTTTAAATAAATCAAAATAATAACGAAGTATTTTATTATTTTAATATATTTATGATATATTAATTATTCCTCTCTGAATATATAGTATTATGTACTTATGCATTTAATTAATTTTACTGTTTAATTAATTTATTAAATATATAGTTTGAAGAATAATTATATTTAAAGTTCTTATTTTTTAAAATTTAAGTATTTTTTTTGATTTTTGTCTATGTGAAATATTTTAATAAAAATTCTTTCAACAATTTAATTATTTTGTGTAGAATTTAAATGTCTTTTAAAATATATAATAATAGATTTTTTAAAAAATAAAAATTTCTAAAAAAAAAAAATAAAAAAATGATAAATTAATATTTTTATATTCTTTAAATAAAATATATAAGTATTTATTTATATATATATAAATTAATTAATAATAATAATTAAATGACATGTTTATTAACGTTAATTTTATTTAATATAAATAATAATAAATAAATAAATTTAATATAAATTCATAATATTTTGGTAATTCATATTATTTCTCAATTTTTATTCTTATATTAAATTTTTTTATTCTTATATTAAAAAAATATTTATAGTTCTAATCTTTAAAATATATAATTTATGGTATAATTATGTTTAATCCTTATCGTTCTTATAAACTTACGTTCTCTAAATTCTTTTAACACTAACAAATCAGTAACGATGAACGATTCATGTGTAATAAAGTTATATCTTTAGTTAAAGTGTATGTGATCTTCATTATTATAATATCAATTAATTTAAAATATACGTTATCATATAAAAAATTATAATACTAATAAATTTTAATTTTAATTATATTAATTAATTTTTTCGTTATATAGTTTCTATTATATATATAAATATATATATAAATTTAATTTCTTTTCATATTTATATTTGCAGTTCAAAAAAATTAGTTCAAAAATTTTAAATCTATAAAATTATTAATTATATATAATACTTTTTTATTTATATTAAATATATATAATATATATATTTAAAATATTAAGTATTTAAAAAGTATACATAGAAAATACGAGTTTATAATCTCAAATATGTATTGTGAACCAAATTCTACGAATATTATTTACGATCCAGAAAAGGTAAAAATAACTATATACAATTTTTTCATTCTTTTATCTTTAATATTAAAATATAATACATAATCTTTATAGGTAATGATCATCGATTTTCGAAGTGACACTTTCACAAAACCAACCAAAAAAATGAGAGAAGCAATATATAAAGCCGAAGTTGGAGACGATGTTTTTAATGAAGATCCAACAGTTAAAAGTATGAAAATATTATTTTAAAACATTATGTTTAAATATAACATATGATTTTTTTGCATATATATATTGCATATATATGTTTACATATATGTTATACATATTATATAATATTTATATTGCTAATATAACAATTATAAAATTAATATAAAAATAAAGATATTAAATAATATTATTTGTTTTTCAAAATATATAAAAATAATACATACATAATTATTAACATTATTAAAATAATATTAAAAATCTTTTATAAAGAAATTATTTGTTTTTAGTATTACAAGAAAAAGCTGCCAAAATGATTGGAATGGAAGATGCAATATTTGTATGTTCTGGAACTATGGGAAATTTAATTTCAAGTAAGTATAAATTCTATATATAATAAGTTTTTGTAATTAAAATTTATCGCATATAATACTTATCTTAAAATATACTTATCAGGAATTTTATTAATTTTCATGAATAATTTTTTACTTTAAATTATAAATTTCAATAGATTAGAATTCATAAAAATTAATGTATTGCATTATTTACATATTATGAATATATTACAATAAAAATAACTAACATTATAAGAATAAATACAATAAGTAGAATAATAAAAATAAAAGAAAAAAAAATAATATATAATTATATATACTTATAATTATATATATAATATATAAAATAATAAAATATAACAAATTGAAATTAAAAAAAAATAAAAGAAAAAACAAACAAAAAAAAATATAAAGATTTCTG